CCATCATAAGCGGTGCGCATGCGGTCATTAGACACAACTCGACGCAGTATGCTGGACTCACCTCGACCCTGATCCCCTCGCTTGCTCTGTGTACCTTGGAGGCACATTGATGAATGTCCTACAGTGGGTGGGTGTATCGACTCCGCATGCTATCTACTACGTGCTAGCCCGTTGTCCACTCTCCGGCGAGCTCCTAGAGCGAGGAGACGGCGAGGTAACGCCACATAGCCCTCCAGCCCAGTCCATTAGCGGTATCGCGCATGAACGCAGTCTTTTTCGCGAGGGCGTTTTAGCACCTTTAGCTGCTTTTTCAGTCTTCTTTGTGCGTGAGTAGTAGCTAGACCACGGCGGCTGCTGTGCCGTTCCTTTTGCAGTTCTCTACATGTAAGCACGACTTCTTACCATACAGAAGTAAACGTGATGTCATTTCGTGACGTAATTACAAGCACTATCTCTAACGGCACATGAAGTTTGTTGCTCTATAAGCCACGGTACATGACTAGATATGACCTTCAGGCCTCGACCTGTAACCACTTACTTAAGACTGGGTATTGTGCGATGTAGTTTTGACATGTGCACATGACCTGTTTCTAGGTTCTCTACTCTTATATCTATGCCTCTACATTGTGCGTGGGCACTGTCAAAGAACCCTCTGCCAACATATGCCCATCCATCGTGATGAAAGGGGGGTCTGATACTGTGACACATACTTGGTCCTTCTCCAATCAGATTGCAAAATGGTCAACCCCGTAGTCCGCTGACTTTAATTGGTAGACCTGTTGTTGAGTGTCGTGGGTTCGAATCCCACCTAGGGCAGCTCTTTTTTCCTTGGAAAATACAAGTTGTCCTTGGTGTAGTTGACTTGTTTGTTGTGCCTTTTGCCTTTCTACCTCGTAGTTGACACATCACATACTAGAAGAGCAGTTTGGATACTACGGATATCTTCAGGATCAGATACTCCTTCATCCCTGTGGGTCAAGTGACTGGGGTGCGAGACTGAGACTATAGGGTATGGGAGGCTGCAGTTGCAGGAGGGAGAGACAAACTCCAAAGCTGCAACAAAACAACACATCACAATCTGACAAAAGATGGGCCTTTATGCAGTCTTTATTTCGTTCCTTATTCAATGACTTTGATGTACGTATAACTGCAACAATAGCTTTTGAGATGGTGTGTCACGCGTGTTGGGGTAAGTGGGTATTGTACTGCAGAGTGCCGCCATACCAATAATGGAGAAGCTGTGGTTGGTGAAGAGTCTTCCTTTCTCTGCTATGTATCTCAGTTGTACCAGGTTCAGCAGTACTGTTTATGCCATTTACAGGCCCTCACTGAGTCAGGTGGTTAAACCAGCAAAAGGTGTAATAACTTATGCGTTGGCTTGGAGAAATAGAAGTCAGGCACGTGGTCACATACCATTCTTTTGGTATGTTTTGCGTGTCAGAAACTATAGCATTAGTGCTATGGCTGCAAAATAGGTATTGTTATGTTGACAGGACTGTCCATACTGCAATTCTTTTTGTGTAAAGCTACTTATATTTCGTCGTGTTTGTTTGCCAATGATTTATTCATTGCTACTGTTATTTCTGTAGTTGATCTGCCAAAGTATGCTCGTGTAAATCTACTAAAATCAGATGTTTCTTTGGTGATTGCTGCTTTTAACGAAGATGGATACTTACTATGTGATGAGAGATGTGGAGCGCTGGAGCACAACAACTTCAGCATTGACCCGATTCTCCCTGATGTTTTAAAGTTCCATCCTTTGGCACCTCTAACGACTCATCCACTTTATCGTGACTCACATATAATACTGCAGGATAAGGTTAGCCCTTGTTTTACCTGCTCTTTAGCATATCATTGGCGAGCGAGAGTGAGCCAACTGTTTTCGATAATCTATATAATTATGTGTATGTGTGTATAAACAGCCGATGCTCACCATGCAGTAATGTTGAATGAACTCCTAACACGAATACGATTCAGCATAGGTCATTAATTGGTTAGGATGAAAAAGAGAAGAGCACAAATACAGTTATTAATAATGCAGCAAAAAATTCCAGGGAGTTTTGAAGGCTTATTAACAAAGAAAGAAAAGAGCCATAATCAAGCATAGGTATTAAGCCGGAGGTCATATATTCACACTTCGAACAATGAACGGAGTGATATCAACCTGAACCAAACTGATGCTGGCATATCCACAGAGCAAGCCGCAAATGGTAATTATGACCTGAATTAGACAAGGAAATTTCATTAAAGTAACATGAAAAAGAATAAAGCACCTGGTCCTGATGGAAGGTCTACTAGGTATTACCTCCACATATGCTGTACACAGTCACAGACCTTTTCAACCTTGTCTTTAGATCGGGAAAGTACCCTGAGAGCTGGGCAGTTCTTATTTGTCCTATATACAAAAGTGGACAGACTGCCCCAAATAATTAACCCTCGGCGCGCACATGCGCAGCGAGGGTTACAGTACTTGGTCTGTCCATCCGTCCACGTTTTCTGCCACCACGCGCGACAAACAGGTAAAATAGCGACACCAACCGGTTCAGCGCGACACTGGCTTTATTTTTAAAATGGCGATTTTTGTAATTGTGCCGCTTACCTCGCTTGCTCTTTGTACCTTGGAGGCACAAGAAGTCACAACGAAGGGCGTGTATCGACTCCCGCATGCTATCTACTACTGTAGCTAGCCTGTGTCAGACTCTCCGCGAGCTACTCTAGCGGGAGACCACGAGTTAACGCATACTACAAATAGCCCAGCCCATCAATTAGCAGTACCGCGCATGCGCAGTTCGCCGAGGATTTGCACTTTACTGCTTTTCATTACAGAGGTATTATGAACTGTATTGGGAAGGTCTTCTCAGCAATTCTTTGTGACAGACTAATTGAATAGGCAGAAGATAACAACATTCTACCTGAGGAACAATAATGGCTTTAGGAAACATCGGCAGGCAATTGATGGTGTGTTTATACTGAATACAGCCATCGAAAAAGCTAAAGCAGACAAAACGGTACTCTATGTCTGCTATGTAGATCTCAAGAAGGCGTTCGATAATGTGGAGCACCATCTGGTGTGGAAGAAATTGCAACATATTGGCATTAGTGACAAAGCTATAAACATTTTACAATCAATGTGCAGAAAAGCTAATGCAAGAGTAAAACTGTCCTCTAATTTGGCTACAGCAGAATTAGCCTGTTAAAAAAGGAGTAAGGCAAGGCTGTAATCTAAGCCCTTTGCTCTTTATCTATGTGGGCTCGAAGTAGAGCTGGCAAACATCCAAGAATTGCTCTACAACGCTGTGACCTGGACATTCTGATGTTTGCAGACGATACCAGTCTTCTTTCAAAAAGTGCGACAGGGATTCAGAAACAGATAGAATCACTTGAGATATTCTGCTCCAAAGAGGTAAATTCAGAGAAGACAAAGACCTGTGTTTTTGGCACAAGCAAAACCCACCTGTTTAAGTTTGGAAGCACCTATCAAGAAAGTGTCAGTGAATACAAATACCTGGGAGTCTGGATAACTAGAAGTGGAAAGTTTGTCAAAGCAAAGAATAATATCAACCTCCAGGCAAAACAAGTGACTCGTGTTCTTCAAATAGTGTCTTGCTAAACTGGCACATCCCCCTCCACCAACCTCAGTCAAGCTCTTCAATGTAAATGTGTTTCCTATTGTATGTTATGGAAGTGAACTTTGGGGATTTGAGTTGGATGAACAGATTGAGAGAACAGGGCTGCAGTTCTACAAATACATTTGCACCTCCCAGGAAATGCTTCCAATGCCGCTGTTCGAGGAGAATTTTTCCAAAATGTAACAAGAGCCTACCCACATTTTCGCCACCTATCCCCCTGTCTTCCTCCTGACGCAGCAAAACCCTGAACTACCGAATGAGCTCGTCTCGTATGTATACAAATCATTTTTATTTTAGATAACACATTGTAGCCACCCTGGCCTTTAATGTATATTTATTATTAATAAGGACATACACTGTCTGTCACAAATTTTGGCGAACAGTGAGAGACACGCCTCTCTCAAGTTTACACTGTTCTTAGCTTGAGGAGCGGCAGATGTTCTTGACCATGCATTCCGTGGGTCGAGGGCGACAAATGTGCTTGACAAAACGCCCAGCTCAATCACCATGCACGGCATATCTTGGAAATGCTGGGAGGCAAATGCTTGACACCACGCATAGCATGTGTCGGATAACATGTGAGGGTACGAATGTGCTAAAACCAATCACTCCGTGCATGAAACGGTTGGGCTGTTAAACCTGAGGCTCATCGGCACAACTTTGTGAGTTGTCTTGAGCAATCAAGCCCTAATTCCATGCACTTGCACCATAATCTACTCTGTATAGCTTCTCCTTTGGTTCAAGGTTCTGTATCGGAGCTTGAGCTTCGATATTTTAGATAGCACAGCTGTATCGCTTGCCAATTTTTGTATTGACTCTTTCTACGCATTTTCATATTACTCCTCCATGGACTCGAACAGTTATTCGCTGTTGCCTTTTTCAGTTTCCTACCACGGTATTTGCTGGATTATTGAGCCTAGTAGCAAAAAGGCATAGCCTCTGCGTGACAAATGTCATGCATGAGTATGTAATGCTCAGAACTTGGCTACACCCATTTTACCTAACGTCTCCACATAATGAAAGAGGCAGAAAGAACGCCTACTGTAAAAACGTGAGGAACCGTTCGCTCCTGGTGAAGTCGTGCACTTGTTCTCTCTCCAATAGTTTAGGCTAATGAGTCATTATCAAACATGGCCTCGCTAGCAGCATTAGTAACTAGCAGTTGAAACAACACTACTTGTCCTCCCAGGCTGCCGTGTAAAAAGTCACTCATCAGGTAAGCTATTGCCAATTAGCATATTGGTTTTTCAGTTGCTTTCACACCATATCTCTTGAACGCAGTCTTTTCAGGAAAATCGCCGCCTTACTTTTCCCGTTCTGAAGCCGCTGGTATTGCTGATGAGTCTCCCTGTCACCTGTAGTACCAAAATAGCCGCAGACACACGGACACACACACAGTCCAAGTACTTAAACCCTTGCTGACAGAGGGTTAACAAAAGGGCCTGAAGCTTTTATCATGCAATTGTATGTGCAGTATGGTACCAGGGGATCGGACATAATCAGGTGCGGATGTTATTTGCTGAGTCAGGAAGCCAATCTCCATACATTTTCTCGTTTATATATTCTGTTTGTTGCCACTCCAGGGAGGCATTATCTCGTGTTTTCGACGATTTCTATGGATAAAAAACTTTGTAGCCCAGTAGGCACTTAAATCAAAGCCGCCAACAAGGCTCTTAGTGCCGCATACCCCCACTGTGTCATTGCAAATACAACCTGCGGTTGTGCATGAATATCATTATTAACCGTGGCAACGGGTGTATTAACAATGAACATCATTGTCTAAACCTGCGGATGGCAATGATTATCATTGTCTAAACCTGCGGTTGCAATAAATATCATTGTATAAACCTGGGGTTGGGCTAATGAGCCATTTTGAACTACTTGAAAACGCCACGGGCTCGGGTATGCTCGAGATTAGCAAGCTCTTGGTTGCTCCAGCCGGGTTTCCACAGTCAACCATGAGCGGGGCTGAGAAAATATCTTCACAGTCCGCACAGCTTCTCTTTAGCCTAGGCTTACATCCCCAGGAGCAATAGGTCCTTGCGCTGAAGTCGTACGCATTGGATATGTCTTTCCCAAGCTGTGATGCCTTTGCGAAACGCTCCAATTCGTCATTATGCACACAAATTCAAAACTGAACCCGCCAAAACGCTTTTATGCAACAGCACTCAAGTCGGTTTTACGGGGCTACAAACCAGTTATACCAGGCCTATTTCAGGTGGCTTGCAGTTATACGAATGCCACCCTGACCGGCATGGTATAACTAGTACTTGCTACCCTTTGATCGCCATTACTTCACCATTACCTCACTACATTTTCCCGAAAGCGACGTTTGAACCGAGGTCATCATCTTTCTTCCAAAACACTATCCCCCAGCAGATCGGAGGTTTGCTAAACACCGTGGTAAGTTGTGGCTTGAGCATCCGAATACGCTCTGGAGGCTACGTAACTTACAATGTACTGAAGTCTATGTACATACACTAAGTATGAGGCATATGGGACGAGGAATGGAGGTAGAGGCGTAAGTACCCTACGTGCCTGACACCTTGTCCAACCCCCATGGTGGGGTACAAACTGCTTTGTAGTCTAGAAGCCATAGAAATCAAAGCGTCCAAAAGCAGTAGTACCCGCAACCACCCCTGAATATATATTTCCAATATTCCGGCGTTATAGCATTCCAGTGGCCGTATACCGCTCGGGCAGAGCAGAACTTCGTGAAAAACACTGGCGCTTGGCTTTTTTCCAGGCTCTAGCTTGCCAATTCTCGCTTGCGCAAATGCTGAAACTTGGCTGTCGTGCGTATGGCATGTGATTCATACCATTTTGAAGCAGCGATGCAGGGTCTGTCGGAGTAGTCTTGTGCAACCAGCAGGACTGGCTTCGTAAGACTAGGCTACATATAGGTTAACCCATGGGTTTTTTATTCTTGTTCTAGCTCCACCCAGTGTGGTCAATGACCCTAGTGCTATGGCTGCGATTTGAGTATGTCCCCACTGTTCTTGCATAATAGATCATACCACAGGAAAGTTGTCGTTCATTTATAGCACGGTTGGCACCTTTGGTACACCAGTGCATCGTATATACTACAGATGTATTATTGTTTATGTTTATTATTCTACATGTGCAGGCGTCGTGTTTGCCAGCTTACCTTCTTGCCCCTCCACCTGGAAGTAATGTAGTTGACTGTTGTGCTGCTCCAGGAAATAAGACAACACAGTTAGCCTCTATTATGAGGAACAAAGGGTAGGTTGAAGTATCGTAACAAAATATGTGCATATGTGTCAAAACAATGGTAATGATTTAAGCCTGACCACAAACAACGTGTAGGCATATGTGATACATATGCTACAGATGAATAATAATATAAGTTTCTGTGCAATGTCCGCCTTTACATATGCACACAAATTTATGAAATTTTATGCAGCTACCATTGTACGTAATGTGTGCGCATATGTACCTACAATGTACAGTAAGACAAGTAAATTAAAAATCCTGCGAATTTAAAAAAAGAGGCATATAGGGATGGTATAAAAAGAAAGGGAGACAAGATAGGGATGGGATATATGAAGCATGGTTAATGAACAGATTTGAGTACGCTGACACCCCCAACCCCATCACACAATCCCTATATTGTTGCCTGGTGTGCTACTCTTATAGGGGCTAAAGGTTACTAAAAGCAAGCATTCTTTCACCGTGTCCCTGTTGTTTTAGTAACAGCGTAATTGCTGTGCAACACCACGCCCACTTTAGTGGCGCGGAATTAGGTATTACACGGATGGGCGTCGCATTATTCCGCGCATGCGTTATTCCGCGTACGCGGAGAAATATCCGCACTATGTGGCGCGCAGTGTTAAACTCCACTTGGACTCTATAAGGGTGTTGGTTACTCAGTAGTGTATTGTAAGTTCTGAGTATTGTAATGGTGAATGTTTAATACTTCACCTAGGCAACAATAGAGGGATTGTGTGATGGGGTTGGGGGTGTCAGCGTACTCAAATCTGTTCATTAACCATGCTTCATATATCCCATCCCTATCTTGTCTCCCTTTCTTTATATACCATCCCTATATGCCTCTTTTTTTAAATTCGCAGGATTTTTTATTTACTTGTCTACACTCATTTTTATATACTACTACGTATTATCTCTGTGGAAGGGGGCAGAAAAAATGCCTGTTGTCGTCACGGAAATGATATGCATACCATGTTTCATCTCCATGTGTGCTGCAAGTTTGAGGAGTGAAGAAGTAATTTTAAAGAAAAGTGCCTGGGCTATTTGTTGTTGTGGTCGTCATGGAAACGATGTTACACACATGCGTACCAAGTTTCATCTCCATGCGTGGTACCGTTAGCGAGTTTGAGGAGTGAAGAAGTAATTTTAAAGAAAAGTGCCTGAGGCTATTTGTTGTTGTGGTCGTCATAGAATCGATGTAATTCACATGCGCACCAAGTTTCACCTCAATGCGTGGTATAGTTAGCAAGTTTGAGGAGTGAAGAAGTAATTTTAAAGAAAAGTGCCTGAGGCTATTTGTTGTTGTAGTCGTCATGGAAACGATGTTACACACATGCGTACCAAGTTTCATCTCCATGCGTGGTACCGTTAGCGAGTTTGAGGAGTGAAGAAGTAATTTTAAAGAAAAGTGCCTGAGGCTATTTGTTGTTGTGGTCGTAATGGAAACGATGTAATACACATGCGCACCAAGTTTCACCTCCATGCGTGCTACAATTAGCAAGTTTGAGGAGTGAAGAAGTAATTTAAAGAAAATTGCCTGAGGCCTTTTCGAACAATATGTGGTCGTCATGGAAACATGTAATAGGCATGCGTACCGAGTTTCATCTCTATGCATGCTACTATTGGAAAGTTTGAGAAGTGAAGAAGTTAATTTAAAGAAAAGTGCCTGAGGCTATTTGTTGTTATTTACAAACATGTATTGTTGTGATTTTGATGTTGGCTATTGAATACATTGTGTATACAAACTTTCGCTATGATGCTAGGTACCATGCCAATCCCTATATACTACCGTACTTAATGATATGTAACAGAATGTGTACATACGTATGTGCGCATGTGTGTATGAATATGTGAACATATGCAACTTAGCATCTCCCTTTAAAAGACCACGAAACTGTTGTAACGGTAGGAGAAATGGGAGATCGGTACCTACGTATACACTAAGCGCAGAGCAATATTTTTTGCCTCAAAAGGGTTACTCTGCAATATCTAGAGCCTTATCTAGCAAACCATGTCACTTCGTCTGCCATTACTGTCATGTGAGGGTAAGCTCTTCCACATTATGCTAAAAAAATTACCTATTATGCCATTCTCTATAATGCTGCTAAATGCAACCTATTATGCCATTAATCCTCTTAATAAAAAAAATTTGATCAAAAATATTACAACAATGTTAATTTATTCTCGTTTGTTGTACTGCAACATTAAAGACGATTCAATATAGTCCTCCATAGAGTGTTCCTGCTGCTTACAAAATGAATTGTTCAAAAGAGAAGAAACACTCTCGACTGCTGCCGACGATGGTTGGACGAGAAGTGCACGTTTGTATGCTTCAGCTCAATGTGGTAGTTTTGTCTCGTTACTCTTCCACCATTCTAACACATCGGTCGTGTTAGAGACGTCTTCTGCAGCAGCAATATACATCGGTAGTTCAAGCTTAAGGTTTTCCAACCTGTCAATAAGGAACGGGAAAGCTTGGAGTTCATCAACAGCTGCAGTTGTTGGTTTAATTTCATGTACTCTTCCAATAGTTCACGGAAGCTGTCGATTTTTTGCAGTGGAATATCACCTCTTAGAAATTCCCGAACCACTTTTACGCGATATACGCGCGTGTTGTCCGACAATGTCTCTCCCTTCGGATGGACCTGCTTGCTGTACCTCTGCAGTGCATCGACAATGTCTGAGTCACGCTTCTCTTTCTCTTTCAGGCGACCCTTTGATGACCTGTGTTTCATTGATTCGACATGATTCTTGATAACACTCTTTTTCACCGAAAGTTCCTCTCTACACGCTCTGCAGAACAGTTTGCCTGCCGACACGCAGACTATCATCAGCAAACTCCTTCACACGGTCTTGGGGGGACACTGATTTAGCACAGTACAAGCAGAGCCACCTTTTGAACGTTTCTGACCAACGGGCGGTGGATTCGTTGACACTTTTCTCTTCCTAGCCAACTCAGATGGAACTGGGGATCTAAGTTTGTCCAGTAACGATAGAACACTGCTTCCCTCGGACACGCTGCTTTCCTCTTCTCCACTATAACCCGCAGTGGAAACGCATGATGTAGTAGCTTCACTGGCACTGCTAGTATCGTCAGCCAGCCATAATTACTACACGTGGTCTCGGGTTAAAGGTCACGAGGCATTGTACATATGCAAGCACAGGAAGTTACTGTTTTTAGTAGTGTAAGCAGAAGCCGCACGCCTATGCAAATTTTTTTACAATTCTATGATTCCTGCATTCTAGACCTATAATTCTCACAATAAGTCCTATTATTCTTAAAGAATTCATGAAAATTATCATGAGAGAGGAAAATGTAAACTACTTTTTTCGCCTATTATATTGTACCATCAATGTTGCAGTCACTAGGTCATGCAGAGAACTCTGCTGTTGTTCTCCAAATGCATTTTTTAGCAAAGAAAATACTCGTTCAGCAGCTGCAGATGAAGGTTGAACCAAAAATGCTTTGAGTGCAGCTGATGACCATCCCGGACGTTCTTCGTGGTGGTCCTTCCACCACTTCAGAACATCAAGATCAGAACTCACATCTGCTGATAAAGATAGGTAAGTTGGTAGTTCTGCTTGAAGAGCGACCACACATCCAGAATCAAAAAAATGGAAAAACGCTCAGAATGTCGATATCCCTTGCCGAAGGTTGCATTTCGCTAACTCTGTGTGGTGAGAAAAGTCTAGCTGCTTTAAAAGCTTTCATAATACCATCATCGTGTAGGTTTGCATTGAAATAACCAATTCCAGGTTTTACACACATCATTGCATACAAGATCCATTGGTTTTGAATTGGTAGGTTGGTCGCAAAAGCTTCTCGGACGATTGCTTGTAAGTTGGGATAGTGCGATGATTGAATAGCTGCCCGGATTTCTACGATTCGGTCATAGCAGATCAACGCTAGTAAGCCATCTCCCTCAAGAGAATACGTAGCCTTAACAAAATGTGCACCAACATCAACTATTACAGCAAGCTCTAGCTTCAAAAGAAAGAGCTTCTGACGGTCATCAAAGAATTCCAACAGCTTCGCTCGAGTGGCAGGACTGACATCATTTTCTCTAAGAAAGGGCTCAATATCTCCAAACATCATGAAAGCCTGATTCATCACCTCCCATCGACTCCACCATCGAGTCTGGGAGTACGTGGCAATCGATTGACCAGTTCGAGTCTTCCATAATGCTTTGAGCTTTGCACTATGGGAAAAGAAAGAGATCCAGAGCGTAAAGAAAATGCTTAAAGTAGGAACTTTGAATTTGTCCCCAATCAGATCAAGAGTGTGAGAAATGCACCTGACATCAAGTGCCATAGGATACATAATTTTGAGAGTGCGCATGGCTGCAGCATTGACGCTGGCTCCATCTCTCATAGCAGCAACCAGATTATTGTACTCAATACTAAGCGTAACAGACAATGCACTGATAATCTGTCGAGCTAACTCCTCTGCGTTTAGGCTTTTCTGTAGGAAATCAACCCGAACCAGACGTTGGTGTACCTCCCAGTCTTGAACGTAGCGTAACACCACAACTAATACTTCGCCTAGCCTTGTTGTTCCGTCGAAAATAATGGAGACCAGCTTGCCAGATACTTCCCTCTTTATACGAGTGCACTCTTCCTCCAGAACAAACGGAACAAGATCCATCATACGCCTTGAGTGAGCAAGACGGAAATGAGACTCTTCTAGTAGCTCTCTCAGAGCAGGGCAGTCCAGTTTGGAGAGCGGAATCCCTGCTTCCATAAATGCATACACAACTCTGGCCCTGTACACCTTCTGCTCCTCTGGAAGTGTTTCCCCTTTACGGTTAGTTTGTGCGTCGTGCCTCTCTAGAGCTAAAGCAAGATCTCTTTCCCTCGTCTGTTTTGTCGTAAGTGCCTGCTTTCCACTCGCGTGCTTGCTGGACTTGATGTGGTTCAGAATCACACTGCGTTTCAGGCAGAGATTCTCTTTGCAAGCTTTGCAGAAAAGCTTTCCAGCTGAAGCCACTAGTTGCTCCCCAGGAAATTCAGATACACGCTGGGAGGGAGTGACTCTCTTCGGAACATAAGCAGCCTTTAGAGCCTGTCCAGATGAACGCTTCTTTCCAACGGGCGGCGGATTAACGCATACTTTACGTTTCCGCGCTAGCAATGACACAGGTGGTGCACGCAGTCGATCGAGAATGCTTAAGGATGAACTGCTGCTACCCTCACCGTCTGCAGAATACGCGCTGCTGCTTGTTGCTGCCACAGAGGAGTCCTGAGGGATCAATACAAAAGATCGCCACCGTCCGTTACGTTACGCAATATCGCGTTACGTAACGTAAGCAAGCGACGGCGAACGTTTGCGTGCAACGCCTATCAATCAATCATCATCATACCCTGGGTTTACAGGAGTTGTAACACAACACGCACACAAAAAACAAAAGTAATGGAACATGGAGAGACATAGTCCGGGGTTTAGGTGAGAACGGCAAGTCTGGTGAGAGGCAAAGACAGCGCTGTCGGCAGCACGAACCAAGGGGGCTACCCATCCCGCCATGACATCCAACAGATGCCACGTGTTCGTGTCTAGCAGGGCTGAAATCACTCAAGTTGACTTGCCTGGAACCTCATACCACCGTAGATCAGGATTGCGGGGGCGTAGGCAGAGGTGAGATACTATCACAGACTGTCGGCAACACGAACCAAAGGGGCTACCCATCCCACCATGACGTCCACGATACTACAGACGCCACGTGTCCGCGTCTAGCAGCTGCCTGTTGCTCGAAATCCCCAGTAGGCACCCCACACCCGTCAGAGGGTCTCCCACGCCATACACACAAACAAAACAGTGTCAGTCACAGAGCTAAGGCATAGAAAGACGCCTTAGAAAATACAGCAGTCGAGCCGCCACACACTGAGAACCCTCGCTAGTAGGCGGCACCTACAGTTTTCTACGCATGCGCGTGAACCAAGCGCGAGAAACGCTGCTTCCAGATCAACTGCCTGCACTGTGCTGCGTTTATTTATTTCACTCACTAAAGAGGTACTAAAAGACAACTAAGAGTCATGGATGCATCTCCCCGCGCGCGGTCTTCCGTTTGGCGCTGGCGGGAATACGCGGTGTTATTCTGGAGCATGTCTCTAATAGAGCTAGGACCAGTTACGTTCGGGCCAGTTACAGGCATCATCACCTTTTTTTAGAGCCAAGGGTCTCTTAGCTACAGCTTGCGCTTGCAGCAGGTGAGTATTATTTAATTTCACATAGCTATATGGCCAGATCTGTGCCATAAACAGATGTGGTCACCTCTGTTGCTGCGAAGAATATCCACTATACTCTGGTCACCATCACCATTTATCCGAAGGTCGCTTGGTTCACGCGCATGCGTAGAAAACTGTAGGCGTTGCACGCAAACGTTCGCCGTCGCTTGCTTACGTTACGTAACGCGAGATTGCGTAACGTAACGGACGGTGGCGATCTTTTGTATTGATCCGTCCTGAGTCTCCTGACTCCTTCCAGTCTCCTCCTCACTCGTCCCAGTCAGCCCATCCATCACCGTTTGCTTGACCTCTGGCTCTGTCGTCTGTCTCTCTCTAGCTAGCTCTAGCTGTCCACGCGCACATACATATATGCACACACGCGCGCGTGCGCGGCGGCCGCGGGCAGTACTTAACCCCATTATTCCGGAATTATTCCATTTCACTAGCGTATTATTCCCAAAGAAATTCCCGAATATGTGCGTAGGCCTAGCCGCACTGGTGCAGAAGCCGCCCTGGTGCACACGCACATTGTGCATGTAATACTGCATGCCCTAGTGTAATCTTTGACAATAGTTTACTGATTATTCCGGCATAATTTCTCTGTGCTAGAAGTTACCTATTATGCTCAAAACAATGCCAGCATAATGTGGAAGCCATGTGACGTCTTATCACTGTGGTCAAATAAATCATCAAAGATTGAGGATCATTTTGATATGTCATAATGTTGGACTGATGTTCAGCATGACCCAGAAATTTGACCTGGAATGAAAAGATACACTGTCTTAGCCTGGAGCACTGTATCCTACACTACAAAGTCTGTGTCACTACTACTAAATTAATGCTGGTGGGGGTATTTCTAGAACTCCTGGAGCAGGGAGATGAACTAAATTACACAGCAAGTGAAGGATTTAATAGAGGAGCAAATGCAGGCTGATGATGAAACTATGCACTGAAGTGGAGCTGAAACGATAATTATGTGCTAATGGAATCAAATTTTCTCTCAGTACCATCTTACGTTTGCCATAGAGCTCTTGGGTGGACATGCAGTGGCTCAGCATATTGTCAACTTATTCAAGATCCTAACAAACTCAAAAGGCTCTCATGGTGAACCAGAATAATAACTTTAACAATGTGGTTTGGACAGATGAGACAAGTGTGCAACTGGAGAACCATCGTCGATTTTGCCACAGGAAACGTAGACAAAAGCCACGTCTAAAACCCAGGTATGTACATAATATACACACACTTGTATTTACGCAGACCAAAACACCTACTAAAGGTTCACTTGTGGGGTGGGATCAGCAAGAGAGGAGCAACAAATTTGCACTTATTTGAGGGTGCAATGAATGCTGAAATGGTATGTGAGTATTCTTCAGCAAACACATATTCCTTCAGTGCAAACTTTATTTGGAGAAGAGCCGTATTTGTTCATGCTAGATAATGACCCAAAACACACCTCAAAATGTGCCAGGAATGTTTTGGTCGAAATAGGATTGAGTGGTGGAATCTGCACTCCACCTCCAGAATCACCTGATTTATGAACTCAGCTCTGAATATCTTCGCAGAGTAGTAAAGCCTATGAGCAAGGATGAACTTACACAACCATGCACGAAAAATTGAGGAAACTATGCAGAGACTGTTGATGACTCAATGGCAAATTTGTATACACACATTTACATGTATGTACAAATGTCCGCTAATTAAAATGTTCTGACTGATACAGGTTACGTATTAGAGCGTCGGTAGACGCTCTGTATAGGGATGGCACAGGTGAAATCTCACGTGATCCACATACAAAACTCAGCTACAATGACTTACCATGCCTTCAAAACACATTAATAATAGTCTACGGCCCTATGTCTAGCTATGCATGTGCCCCAAGACTTCATACGCACCTTCAGTTATCCACGCGAGAATTCGCTCATACGCGATTTCACGATTTTCGTGTGATCATCATAGTTATATTGTTCTTCTTCTTTAAACCCACCATCTCCCTACCGGAACCGGTTGAAGCGCTGATGACTGAGCGTCTCCAAATTCCATGGAGGTGTGCACGGACATCAGGCAATTGTTTCTTTCGTCACAACGGTAGATCGTGGAGCTGTTCCAAGAGCTCATTGAGTGTCTTCTTATAAACAATAAAACAAAGATATAGGGATGGTGTCATGTAGCTTTGTGCATCTTTGCTGTGTAATGACCCCTTTGTTTATTCCTTTTTGGTGCTTCAAACCATCCCTATATCGCCCTTCATTTTATTTTTCCACTTGTAATGTAATCATAATCATAGTATTATTGTCTTACTCATACACAATGTAGTACAACATGCTTCAGGAAGTATGTATGAAGTAATGTGTTTCCTGTTCCATACTGCTGTTCCTTGTTAAGCGCCTTCTTATTGTGGGTCTTGCATGGTCTCGTAATTGATTTCTGTATCTCTTCCCAGTTCGCATCAAACTCTGTCTAAGGGATAATTTGCTTGCATGAAGAACGAACATTTCGTTATTAACCGTCGGCGCGCATGCGCAGCGAGGGTTACGGTAGTTGTTGTGTGTGTGTCTGTCTGTCTGTCTGTCTGTCTGTCTGTCCGCAAGCTATCTCACTTCACAAGCAATCGATCACTCTACAAACAAATACCACGTATTCAGCGTCGGATAACGGTCGAAATTATGTGGGGTTTTCTCTGAAACTTCTGCATTTGGGAGTTACAGCGTGAAACACCAGCGAATAAGGCAATATGCTAATTAGAACAGGCTTACCTCAAGCGGGTCCGCTCCCTCGGTTTATCTTGAAGGCACAAGAAGTCACAGCGAAGGGCGTGTATCGACTCCTGCATGCTGTCTACTGATGTAGCTAGCCAGTGTCTGACTCTCAGTGAGCTATACTAAACGCATACAAATGGCCCTGCCCATCAATTAGCGGAACCGCACATGCGTAGTTCGCCGAGGGTTTGCACTTTAGTGCTTTTTCATATTATGTATGTACATATGTTTGTAGCATTAGTACACACACACAACTGAGTATGCTGACATAATTATATGGACCCACCATTGTTTTGACGCATACTGTATATTCAACTCCCCAAAGATCAATAACAGCATTTGATAAGGATCGTAGGAGATTTGCGGTACTGAGAAAGAGAGTAAGAGAGGCTGGAGCAACTTGTGTCTCCCCTATCCTTTCTGACATCCTTAAGGTGTGTCCTAGATATTGCCATCTCATTTTGTACACAGAGGCCACATAGTAGTAAGTACTCTCGCCTTTTTAGAAATCAGTTCTGTAAACCCCATGTTAATTCCTGTACATGAAGACGCACGTCTAGAAGTTTGTGACCCATACTGGATGCTTTCTTACTTTAGCAAAATGTTTCCTGCGTGTCCTGTTCTATGTTGCATATCAGCAAGGAGCAGGACATGCAGGAAGTTGTTAAACTAACACCATAGAATTCACGTAACGCAATTGCGCACGTATGCGCGGATGTGTGCGCGACATTAAATGCGCATGCACCACACAGTATGCTATGGGATTAGTCACGCCGAAGTTTATTTCTCACTCAAACAGAGCTGCATCAGTGAGTAGTGTTTCGAGCAATGCTGCCAGGCTAGCACTAGTGCAATGCTTATTAGCATAATGGCTTTTTTCACTTGCTTTACACATCATAACTCTCAGGGAAAACACATTTTCTGCTCTGAAGCTGTTGGTATTGCTTGTCAGAACAGCGTGCAGGAAAGACAGACAGAAAGACACACAGTAACTCTCGCTGCACATAACGTGCCGAGGATTAATAGCTTACAGTAAGGACGAAAACGTACTTGATGGATGAATAGAGTAAACCTACACACTTGTTAATTGCAGCTTAGTGGATGTAGGGACACTGGTTCACATTATCTGCGTGGCCAATCAAAATAAGTGTATTTATGTGATGCTGATGTGTTTATTCTGCATAGCATTGTGTATCATAGTGCTTATTTATGCATGTCTTCTACTTCAAGGTCAGACCGGAAGACTACAGTAGCACAGAGTACATTTTAGTCGATCCATCATGTTCTGGGTCTGGAATTTTAAGTCGTCAAGATTATAGCTGTGTAAGAAAAGCAGATGTGTATGTTTATGTTGTATTGCTTGCTGCACCACCATACTCATACCCAGGTCATGTTTGTACATAATTACCATCACCTGAAAAACTTTCAGAATTAAGAGGGTAACCTTCTGGCCAGTGCATATTGTCAAATTTTTCATAAAGTCCTTACATGTGGCATCTGAGAAAGTGTGCTTTTAATAGAAGTTGCAGCAACGGTGTATACATGTGCAATTGGCTCCACTTGTTCAGTGACGACTTATATTATGTTGGCCACAAATTTTGCTATTTTGTTGTGCTCCATCACTAAGTACGGTAGTACTTAGTATTACAGGTTATCCAGCATTATGCCCGTACATTTGAGATGTCATTTAGTTTCAATCTCTGGCATTATTAATCAGTTATCAAGAAAGTTAGTTAAATTCTCTTTCTTATCACTCATTCTACCTTTGGAGAAGCCAGACAAGACGGGGGTGTCCCCTTGTGGTAGGCACGTGCCCCCATCCAGCAGGGGAGGTCCAGCTTGCGGCATGCCCCCGGCCCGGCCACGTGAGCTCACGTGGTGCCATGCTGTAGTTCCAGGTGTGCTCGTGAGGCTGATCACTTGGTCATGGGCTAACCGCGAGCCTTACGTGACCTGGTAGGCGGGCATGTGCCTCGCTCTTCAGGACACTCCCACGACATGCAGCATGATGGGGAGCATGGCTGCGAGCCCCATTCCGGCAGATAGGGGTGAGTCCACCCAAGGAGGTGGCTGGCTGCTAGGGCTGCGTAGAATATGCTCGCATTATTTGCAGCATAATTGCGTATTGTGAGAATTAGCATAATTCAAGCATAAATAGGGCTAAAGCACCCTTGATTAGTAGGCGCGGCCGAGGGTGTGGCTAGCTAATGGTCCGAGCCATGTGTACGTGCGCCTAGAGAACGACGAGCAAGAAACAACCGAAGAACGAGACACCACGACGACTTCAGAGGCGAGTAGTAGCACGGTTGTTTCTTTGTTGGAGCGGTTGAGAGTGCCTAAGAAATCTGAGTTGACTAGGAAGCGCAAAATATTCGCAAACCCGCCACGAGAACCAGGTATGCGTAAAAAGCGCCCGTGTTGTTCAAGCAATCCGAAATCGGTTACCCCTGCTCAGCGAGTCCGGGAATTTCCTAACGAATGCTTTACTGTGTCTTCAAGAACGTTGTTTTGTGACGCATGCCGACAGGAAGGGATAAAGGGAGAGCTTCCAACCTACTTGGCTTTGGCTCAAGACGTTACTCCAAACTACGACACGTTAAACTGGTGGAAAGGACATGCTCATGAACTACCTTACTGGTCTACTGCAGTACACAATGTACTGGTTCAGCCCTCGTCTGCTTCTTCAGAACATGTTTTTTCACTACTAAAAGCTAGTTTCGGTCCACAACAAGACTGTTCATTACAAGACTACATAGAATCATCCCTAATGTTACAGTTTAACAAACGTTAATCAGTGCTCATTGTTGGTAACAGTGTAATTCACATCATGAACTTTTTAAGCATAATTTACCACTTGTGGAAGCATAATAGAATAAAATATTGCGCAGTGCTAACAGGCATAATTACAAATATGTTGTGCACATTCTACTCAGGCCTACTGGCTGCCATGCTCCCCAAGGAAGTAGTGCGGTGATATGATGGACGTTATACAATATTAACACTGATAACACAACAATCTAGAGCAATATTGGAGCCGTATTGGGTCGGACGAGAGTATGTGGTAAGGTAGCTCTAGGAAGCTAGTGCCACTGACATGGCAGCCAACTGTTCGTGTCGTGTCCTTATGTACCGAAGGAAGGCACCACCCTGCGACCGACCCAGCAGCTGAATGGTCGAGAGCAGATGTTGCGGCGCCAATGCGAAGCTGTGACCAGCATAGTTGTCCTCCGGTAGTTCGAGTGCCCTGAGAAGCTTCCTAATCTCTTCCACGAATGCCTGCTTAGCCGCTACCATTGCCACTTGGTCAACGGAGATGTATGACAATGAGCAGAGCTCTGGGTCGATGCCGCTTGTAACACTAGGCCCCGGCAGGTGTAAGATTAAGCGCCACTTTCCAGCGTTGTGGCCTTTCGGGATCACGCCGAAACGGTTAATGTGGACAGCCGGCAGGATGCCTAGGCCGTTCGGTGCGAAGGGGCCGAGCAGGCAGCCAACGGATCGCTCTTTATCGAGGTAGGCCTGTACCACCTCAGGGTGCTCGCGGCCCGAGACCAGATTCTGGTGACTGGATTGTAGGGGGCAGGAACAGTTGAAACCGATTCGAAAGGCATCGCTTATGCCCCTGATGAGGTATCGGACGATGGCTCGATCCAGATGCGAGGCCAAGGCACGCTTCCAGGCCCGCTTGTTCAACGGGGTCTGCACCCGGGCGAGCAGGGCACATGGCCTGGGATCTGAGCAGCAGAAATCCAGGGCGAGAAGGTCTGCCGTATGTGGGTAGAGCCGTCCCCAGTCTGCATAGGGGAAGAGGTGGCATAGTCATGTTTCATTGCCCAACCAGGAACATAGGATGATGCCATTTTCCCATTCAGGCCACAAGCCCCCCACCCCCCCACCCCCCCACCCCACGCTGGTTTATTATAGACACAATGACTAACAAGCATACAACATAACCCAATGCATGACAAAATACATGTACGGACACTACCTACAGTCTACAGAGCACACATGTGATCTAGTTAATCCGGGAGTCCGTGAAGTTCGGGTAGCGGGCCTACGCCTGCTCCGACCCAGGGACGGGAGATTGGGGTGCGACTGCTGTTGTCGGTTCCTTGAGGGACACCAGTTACGCGCGGATGGCCCACGCCCAGTTGACGAGGACTGGCGGTGGGGGCAGTTGTGGGGGCCGTGGCAGTCCGAGAAAACGTGGGAGTAACGACGCCTGGTGAAACGGCACCGATTCACAATTGAAGCTGCAACACACTTCCAGGGACCTGGCGGGGGCTGTTGCTGGGGCCGGCAGCTGAGACGCCAACGCATATTGTGAGGGGGCAAAACCTTGAAACCATCCCAATATTGGGGGGTTGGGTTTTGGGGGCAGCTGGCTCCACTGTGATCATCAGAAGGCAGTGGGGGCACCATGGAATCCAGCGCGCCCGGCCTGTAAAAGCTTCGTTTTAGAGGTGTGTATTAGGTATGGACTAATTAAGGTCCTTCTTAGCTAACATATCACGATGGAACTGCCTGTCGTATGCCACCCAGTTGGCCTCCTCGTAGTTGTGAGCGGCCACGAGAATTGTCGATTGTTATGCCCATAGTTCGGGGACCTTCTCGGGAAGACGTGATACTAAAATGGCCGCCATTCTCACATAGCACTCCAGCCAGGACTTGATAGACGGGTGGCTTTGGAGTGCGCTGAGCGGGGGTTGTGGCATCGGTAGTGAAGTCGCCCGGCCAGATGTCGCCCCGGAGCTCCGACATCTCAATGAATTCTAACGCCAGGATCTTCTTTACCAATGGGCCCTGGCTGTGAAGTGACCCATGAGCATCGCTGGGCAGGTGGTCAGCAGCGGCCGCAGCCAGTACATCCAGGCCCGATGATGACACCTTACTCTAAATTAAAGAAAGAAAATACTATAGGAATATGAGGTTTCACAATGTAAGATTTACCTAAGAGAATCTTACAGGACGTGTAAACTTCTTGCATGCTTTGTAAGACCTACAAACTTTACTTAAGACTCATTCAGTGTCTTTCAAAACATGTACAAGATCTAGTTGAGGTGTACGTACTGATTGTGCAATAGTGGTGGCAGAAAACATAACAGACAAGCAGACACATAGACACACACACCTACAACCAAGTACTGTGCATGGGCAGAGGGGGAAATGTGTTTAACTATAACAATATGTGGCACACTTCCTTAGATAGCGAGTCCTTGAAATCTACGTGCATTAGGGCTTCTAACGTGTGTGGATTTCACGGACTAGCTGGCAAACGTATTTAGAGTGAATTCTAATAGACGAATACATTTTTCACACGTGTGCAGGGTAACAGCACCGCAGGCACATGATTTATAAGACACGGAGTTCAGAATGAGTACCCTCTAAGAGTAGTATAGCTTCCTGGGCTTTCATGACAACAATAGAAAAACTTGTGCAAGGCTGCTTGAAAGCTGATGGCTATGTTTTAACTGCAACAGTTGTTGCCTAGTTTTTCCTCATTACTGCGACAGATATTTTATGGCACAGTGTGACGTATGACCCTCCAGTCTGGAGGACCTCTGGAATTACGTGACAACTTTGTCAGCTTATCCTATGTAGCACTTGGGCCCGGGAAACAACAAATTATTATAAATAAAAAGATTCTGCGAATTAAACAGTGTGGAATATAGGGATGAAAAGCAAGGAGCAA